GATTTATGTCCAACTTTGCAGCATCTTCTGCATACATCTGTACGATCACTACCAGTACATTCACTAGCTAGATGTCCTTGATCTAGACATCTAAAACATTTTATAATTTTCTCCTTTTGTCTGACTCTACATCGAATCCACCCAATTTTTATTCTTCGTTCCGATATTAATTTTGAAGCGAGGTTTAATGGCATTTGGACAAGCGCCTGTTTAGTTTTCCATATGATTCTCTTATATTCAATACCTTGAATGGTGCTTCGTGTTTTAAATCAAGAGTTTTTTTAAGGGCATCAATGATTTCACATTCTTCAGTTGATTCGTCCATGTCTCTGATATCTACGTTAATGGACTTAGTAGCCGATCGAATCATTACATCTTGTCCAAGAGTATTTTTCAGAGCTTCTTTTAGTTTTTCTGCTTGACCTTCACCAGGCTTCAGTTTTATAAGCAGTTCGCCATTTTGGTTCTTCTCATTTCGTTCACTTCAACTCCAATATCCATGGGATTTATATTGTCTTCATTTGTTTAAAGCATTTCCGCATATGTATTAGCATCATTTGTTTTGATAGTAAGGGCTTCTCCAGTATCTTTTGGACGTATTTCTTTATTTTTACCTTTTTTTTGGACTTGTAAGTTTTAACTTTTGTCCACTCCTTTAAATTGCTGCATTTTGCCGATCTATGCACTTACAACAGTGGGTGTATTTGTTGTTTTCTGCCTCTTTGGGAGGCTCTCATTTTTTGGTGATGTTGAGGGCAAACCGTTTGCATCTGGATTCCACAGTATTTTTTGTCAGTTTTGAGTTACATCATTAATTTGGGGGATTTTCACATTCCATGATATTGGTCGCCTGCCCTGGAGTTGACACATTTCCCTGGATTAGGTGGTCAGTTTGTGTGTACTTTGTACTAGTTGACACATTTTCACCACTTGGTTGGCTCACTGACTCATTAATTTGGGTTTGAAAATCAGTTTGGGAGTATTGTGTTGACACTTTTTCACCACTGTTTAGGCCCACTACCTCATTTATTTGGGTTTGACAGTCAATATGGGAGTATTTCTTACTACTTGGCACATTTTTCTCAATCATATATGTTTTGTTTGGATTCTTTGCAATAGCTTCTCTAAGTTCTCTTAGCTTGTTGATAAAGATTCATAACATATACTAGATGTTCTTTAATTGGTTTGTGATATTATTTGCGGGTCCGGCAACTGAGTAATTATACTCAAACTTTTCCCCATATCAACAAACGCTTTTTTCCTCTTCAGATTGTAGCATCTTCAATCGTTGCGTATTCTCATCAATATCATCTGCCTCCGCTATCGTGGATTCAGTTGAAACAGCCGGTGGTGGAGTTCGTATAGTTTTTGTACTATTTCCGAAAGGATTTGCTTCATGAGAGCTTGTAGCATTAGCTACTTCTCCAGCCAAGTTTGCCACTGGGGAAGTATTACGGTAATTGGATTTCGACGACTGGGAGCCCGTTTGCACACCCACCAAAGCCGCCGGTACTGGGTTATTAGTCCCTGCACCGTAACATTTTCATTCTCTTTCTGCATTGTATTTAGTTTTATAGCTTGCGTTTTTCTCCTTCCGCCAGGAATATATTACAGCCGCCCCTAACATGGGGTCAGACGCTGACCAGGAAGCCGTCCACGGTGGAAACCGTCGCGCCTGGATTTTTTTGAACGAAGGGAAAGTCACTAGTTCCAGACCATTGCTCTGCTGGAGGCTGCTCAGCAGCTAGACGATATATCTATCGTCCGTTCCACTACGCGCCTGTAGTAGCTCCTTATCAAGTCCTGAGCTCGGGCTTGACATACTAGGGACCGCGGGGTCGTAAAATCCCGTTATCCTCTTTAGAGGATACCCTTGCGGGTTCTATCTACTATCTATCTATCTATCTATCTATCTATCTATCTATCTTATCTATCTATCTATCTATCTATCTATCTATCTATCTATCTATCTATCTATCTATCTATCTATCTATCTATCTATCTATCTATCTATCTATCTATCTATCTATCTATCTATCTATCTATCTATCTATCTATCTATCTATCTATCTATCTATCTATCTATCTATCTATCTATCTATCTATCTATCTATCTATCTATCTATCTATCTATCTATCTATCTATCTATCTATCTATCTATCTATCTATCTCTCTATCTATCTATCTATCTCTATCTATCTATCTATCTATCTATCTCTATCTATCTATCTATCTATCTATCTATCTATCTATCTATCTATCTATCTATCTATCTATCTATCTATCTATCTATCTATCTATCTATCTATCTATCTATCTATCTATCTATCTATCTATCTATCTATCTATCTATCTATCTATCTATCTATCTATCTATCTATCTATCTATCTATCTATCTATCTATCTATCTATCATCTATCTATCTATCTATCTATCTATCTATCTATCTATCTATCTATCTATCTATCTATCTATCTATCTATCTATCTATCTATCTATCTATCTATCTATCTTCTATCTATCTATTCATCTATCTATCTATCTATCTATCTATCTATCTATCTATCTATCTATCTATCTATCTATCTATCTATCTATCTATCTATCTATCTATCTATCTATCTATCTATCTATCTATCTACTATCTCTCTATCTATCTATCTATCTATCTATCTATCTTCTATCTATCTATCTATCTATCTATCTATCTATCTATCTATCTATCTATCTATCTATCTCTCTATCTATCTATCTATCTATCTATCTATCTATCTATCTATCTATCTATCTATCTATCTATCTATCTATCTATCTATCTATCTATCTATCTATCTATCTATCTATCTATCTATCTATCTATCTCTATCTATCTATCTATCTATCTATCTATCTATCTATCTATCTATCTATCTATCTATCTCTATCTATCTACTTCATCTATCTATCTATCTATCTATCTATCTATCTATCTATCTATCTATCTATCTATCTATCTATCTATCTATCTATCTATCTAT